CAAGTTCTTTGTTGTTCTCTTTCAATCTCTTATGCTGACCTCAATTCAAACTGACTTTTGATTTTAATTTAACTGAATTTCAACAGCACTGTACCTTGCAGTGATGATTCTGAGTTGTAAACTAGCGTGTATATTGTCAGAAAGCATGTTGCTTTTTGTGCTCTGTATAAAACAGAAGCAACTTTTTAATTGTTAAGATGAACAAAATTACTTAAAATTCAGAAAGTCTGAGGACATATTGGGATCTTCCTCATTACTCAAGTCAATAATATTATTCTGGATGTCCTCAAGGGTAGCAAAGATCAGAATCAGCCCAAGATATGAGGACTAATTTTATTCCTAAATGAAGGCCTTATGAAAGTAAATTTCTAATGTTTTAACAGTATAGAAGTGATGCCGGGTATTATCATTACGATGCTGGTTTGTTTTTCCTTGTTTAAATCTACAAAAAGATGCAAGACTTCTAATTTGGTTAATTAGTATTATCCTAGTTGTGTATAATTAATATACCAGTTGGGATCTGCGCGGAAAGCCAGCAATGTGCTGTGTGATGAGATAGTGTTGAAAGTATCGTGTGGGCAGAAATTCAGTAGAACCAAAGGGAACTTCCACAGTATTGTTTGGGACAAGTCAGACAGGATTATTAAGCAACCTTTCTAAATTATAAGTGGAAAAATAAAACAAGTTTCTGTGAGAGAATCTGTGCATTATCAAAACCAGCCTATTTCCAGACAAGCTTTAACAAAGTTTCTGTTGTATTCTTATGCAGGCATGTGCATTCCCATGTAGTTCTGAAGAGGTGATACAGTGAGAAAACAATAAATACTCTTAGAACAAGTAGTAAAGCAAAGATAAAGCGAATTTGTTCATGGTGTTTGGCACCCAGAATCCAGATTATAGGTGGGGTGAAGGATCTGTGGAGATGCTCTTCCTATGCGAGACAGAAAGGCAGTGATGCTGTGAACTTCTGTAGTTAACAGGATCTCCCTATGAGAAATCATAACTGAAAACTAAAAAAGCTGATGTCTAGTATTACTGTTTTCTTATTGTCAACACATCTTCTGAAACAGTTTCCCATTTCGTAATTGAAAACTTTCTTTAGTCAAGCAGTTTTAGTTTCTTAATCCTTGGCTGGAAAAAGCACACTCCTTTCATCTTGAATTTTTTTCTCTAAGATAAACAGTCATTTCTAAATCTGTCTTGGCTTAGCTTGAGGTCAGTTGAATAAACCTGTGTCTATAAAAAGCTGATACTTCAGATTATAAATTTTGTTTGGTTTAATCTTGCTTTAGTTGTCTTCCATTAAACCATTGATTCAAAATACCTAATGAGGGAGTATCTCTGAATTTGATAGTACTCTAGTTTTTTAGTAGTTCTCCTTGTTACAGTATTAGGAATTAAATAATAAGAGTAGCCCATGGTTGGAGCAGCATTGATCCTTCTGGGTTATTTTAAATTTTGCACATACAATATTTAAATATACAGAGAAAGTCCCTGCACATCCTGGTCTATTTTCTCTTTGCTGAATAAATAAATTTCAGAGTGAATTTTTTTTTTTTCAGTTTAACTTTAAAAATGTTTTTCCTCTGTTTGCCTGTTGCAAATGGAGCTGAAATGGAACATTTGATGTGGATATAATATTCTAGAAAAGTTCTTTTTTTATCTTGCTAAAAGTGGTATATTTACAGTATGCTAAAGGAGTAGTTCAATCTATAGAACACAGGAGAATAACGTAAAACAAATTACTTCAGAGAATGTATGAAATCCTAAGATTTTAACATGGAAAGACTGCTTGGATCTTCTTGCTAGGTCCTCTCTTATCACATCAAAACGGGCAATGAGAAAAATGAGGTTTTGTAAGTGTTACGGTAAAAATAGAGGCATTATGATTTGCTAATTTAATGTTAAAAGTTAAAGCACCTCTAGAAATTATGCCCATTGTTTTCTCTTTCTTCCTTCTTAACGAATTTTATTAGTTAATTATTTTCCAGTGAAAAAATTCTAAAAACACCTTTTGTAATCCAGATTCTCTATTAGGTCAATACTAGCTTTTGGTTTGTTATTTTGAAGGCTTAATAATACAGCTGTACTTTGACCTAGAAACCTATTTTGATTTGGTGGTTGTACATCTGCCTGCAGTTTGTTTTACATGCAAGCATTCACTTACACTTGAGATATTATTATTACCTAAATAATATAAAGACTTGGAAGAAACATTTGAAAACATGTTACAAGGATCAGTGGAAAGTTGTTACTGGAGGAAGATGTTGGATCAGTTTCTTCCTAGTAGAAGCTTGCGCAGTATGTGGCTGCCTTGTGCCTAGCAAAAGCTCTTCCACTGAGCTCTTGAGAAACAGTGCATTCAAAAAGAGTGAAGTTCCCATCTGCAAATCACAGTTCTCTCATATGTTATCAAAGGATTTCCATTCTCTGAGGAGTCAATGAAGTTCCTAGTTAATTATTTAAAAGTAACCCCTTTGGGCTGTTCTTTCAATTGTTTTCCAGGTGCCATAAACTGCAGATTTCAGCAAGAAATAAATTTAGATACAGCACGGTAGGAAGGTTTAAAAGCCAGCAGCTTCTGCAAAGGATTGTCAGGAACAATCTGCAAGGAGACTGCTTTTGGCATATAGATTTTGAGCTGAAGCAGTAGAGGAAAGGAAGTGCTGCTTGCCAGCTCTCACCACCATATGCTTTATTATAATGTAATGTACAAAGAATATGGAGACAGCAGCTGCTCTAGAGGGAGGTGGCCACTTGTCAGGGTTTGAAACCTTTCTGAGATGTCTGTTCATTTTTTTGTCACTGGTATTTTTTCCCCTTGCTTACGTATTTGCATTCAAAAGATGTTCTCTAAAAGAAATCCATTTTTAGACCACAGTGAGAAGAGGAGAATGTGATCTAGTTTTTGTTGAAATGAAAATAATTCTTGAAGGACTCTAATATTTAGTTTTATATATTGTGAAATGTGAGCAGATTTTTTTTTTTTCTCAATATCCTGTCATATCAGGGCATGATGAAATCTTATGTATAAATTAATTATTGCCTAGGATCGTATGTCTTTGATGGAAAGAAATTTATATCTTTTATCAGCTGCCAGTGTGTGTTTGCTAGTGCCTTGGTCACATTCACATTCAAGTGAATGTCAAGGTTTGTTGACTTTGATGGCAGAGAGGACCAAAGCTTAGATGAGGATTTAGATCTGAAATGGAAAGAGTTTGATATGATATGCGCAGAGAAACCAGCCTTTCCTGGCATTCCTACCCACGCAGAGAGGTTGACTATTCTGTTGCATTGAGAAACCTGAAGTTCTTAGCATGTTTCAGGAGATGAGTGCCTGCAATATCATGAAAATGTACCTTATGTATTTAAACAAATCTGTATTTTAAAGGGTATCTTTTGAACTCCTGAGTTTTTCATATCTGAATGTAACGATCCTTCCAAATACACGTAACTGAGCACTTGCATCTAACATTAGGGATTCTTAAGTGAATTTGAGAATCCAGGGAGAAGTTACATCACAGTATAATTGGATTATAACAGGGCAAGTTGTTATAGCATATAATAAAATTAATATATTAGCATCTTCACCGAATGTCAGAATTTTACATTGACCCTGGAGTAAGGCTAAAATGTCACAGCAACATAAATGCAACCCATATAACTCAATAAAAATAATGGTTCATGTAGAGGTCAGATGTTACAATTCTTTTTGGAATCTCTTTGAGATTTTTAGATTATTACCTATTCTTCACCATAGATGCCTCTCTCTGAAAAAGAAACTACATGGCTCTATCTGTCACCAGGTACATGTTTTCCTAGTGATGGAAAGATGATTCTTATGGAAAAATCTGTGTTAATTTGCTTACCACAGTTCTACACCAGTCTATTATTGTCTGCCTTTCATTTTCTAACCCAGCTGCAATTGGTGGGTATCTGCAATACTGACGTACTTACTAATACTTACTTAAAGGTCCCCTTTTCTATTTTCCCTTTTTGTGGCTGTGTTTGTTGCAAGAATTCAATTCTAAGTAGGATTACTGATCTGCAACTTTACTCAATACCTGCATGACCCCTCATCCCACTGAGGTGTGCAGTATAGGGAATTCCATTGATTTAGGAATCCTGTTTCCAAAGTAGACTGAATTTGGAAGTCTTTAGTGAAAATAAACATGGATTATGAATATAGTCCCGCAGGCCTAATTCTGCAAAATGTGAGGCAGAAGTTGAAGTCACATTGAAAACGATAACTTACAGTCTTGTCTTGAGTCAACTCTGTTCTCCATGCAAATGAAAGTTTTGAAAACACTTCTCCTTTTGGTTCCCTTAAGTATAGTTTAGCCCTGGCTTAAACAACACTTCTTTAATTCTAGACTAGTCTGCTCCATTTTTTCTAACATATAAAGCATTTATTGTCTGAAGCAGCAGACTAAAATACAGTAATTACAGAAACAGTTACTTTTAGATGTAGAACTATTATTTTATAGATTGTTGGAAATACCTTTTTCACTGAGATTTGCTGTTACGATTAGACACAGATTTATTTTTACATAAAAAATGCCTGGCAGGAAGAAAAGGACAGATCTTCCTTCAACCATGGAAGTCAGCAAAACAATGTAATTCTAAGCAAGTGAGAAAATGAAATCCCCTGGTTTTGACAAATGAGAATTAATTCTTTTTGAGCTTAAAGAAAGTTACTTCATTTTTAACCATCACAAGCTATTCAACTGCCAATGGCTAATTTGAAAGCAAAGAAATGCAATAGACCAAATGTAGCTATTTGCCTAGAGAAATGTTCCTTGTTGTGAGAATAGCTGCTTCAAGTTGGTTATAGCTCTGTAGGGTTTTTTGCTGGCTTTTAAAACTTGGAAGACTCATGGCAGCGCAGTTAGAGTTTCAGATCTTAAACTGTCCGTTTTAACTTCGCATTCATTGTTCAGAAGCTGTTGTGTACTGCTTATCAGCAGAGAAATTAATGTCTGATTTTTCCTTCTCTTCAGCCACCAGAGAAAGAGGGTGGCCTGCCTCGCCAGGTCGGCAATAAGACGGAGTGTGGTCTCTTGGGATTTGTCCTGGATTTAAAGCAGGATTATGAGCCTGTTCGAAACCTCATCCCCGAGGAGAAGCTCTATAAAGTTTACACCTTCAACTCTGTGAGAAAGTCAATGAGTACTGTCATTAAAATGCCAGATGGCAGTTTCCGAATGTACAGCAAAGGAGCTTCTGAAATTGTGCTGAAGAAGTAAGTTCCAGTGAATTAGTTGCTGTCTTTTTCCAAAAGGCAATATGTTCTGACACTAGTAAGACTTACAGTAGAAATATGACACACTTTAGGAGTATAACCTGTTATTGTTGTTTTCTAAACATAGTTTTTTGACGTGCTCACTCTTGCAAAACTCTTTGGTTTGTTTTTCTTACCAATGGCTAGCCAAAGATTTAGGTCTGCATTCAGCAGTACACAAATGGATGGTTTATGTTCAACTCTTTTGGAAAATAAGGATTTTTCAATTTCACTGTAAGTTGTCAGCTCATTAATTACATGGGTATTGAGGAAATAATGGCTGAACGGCTCTTAGTGTCTCCGTAATAAGTTACAAACAAAATCTCTCTGACAGTTCAGTAGTGAATCTTCTTGTATAATGTAGAAATTTAGCCTGGAAATTCAAAACTTGCCATCAAAAAAGGAAACTGTTGAATGAAATATGCTGGCACAAAGAAATACCTGTCAGCAATCTTGCAAATACACAATCAACTTACGTATTTTCTCAACTAAAACAGATGTTCCAGGATCCTTAATGCAGCTGGTGAACCTCGGATCTTCAGACCCCGCGACCGAGATGAAATGGTGAAGAAAGTGATTGAACCTATGGCCTGCGATGGGCTGAGAACCATCTGTGTTGCCTTCCGAGACTTCGGCAGCAGCCCAGAGCCTGACTGGGACAACGAAAATGACATATTATCTGACCTGACTTGCATTTGTGTTGTTGGCATTGAAGACCCAGTAAGGCCAGAGGTATACTGAGTTCTTATGTTATAAAGCACTTCTCAGAGAGCTGAACGTTAACCAGGAAACTGCAGGTTTCTTGCAGGTCTTATCTTCTTTTCAGGTTTAATTAGCTCTGTCAAAGAAGGTAGAAGTGAGCTTAGAAATAGGCTTTTCTTGATAATAAGTCAAATAACCTAATAAAAACCAGCTATTAATCAACCAATGTTTAAATAAAGCAAAATAGGGCTTTTTGAATGGCAACACTGAGATGACTTAACCTTCTCTCAAGGAGCAGTATTCAGGAGGTTTGATCAGCAGAAGTTTTATTATGCTCCCAGGCATTAAAGAATTTTCCTTTAAGCAATGCAGTTGATGTGCAACTCTGACAGTAAAGGTGTGCAGTGATTAGAATTGCCATGATTCTGTGATTGTAACTGCAGTGGGCTTGTTTTCCACAAAAATTGTATACAGGCTTGGAGGTCATGTAACGGTTGCCACTTTACTAACTGTCTTAGGATTGTAACTGGTGGCTACAAAGGAAAACTGATTTTAATGTATTTGGGCAAGGAAAAGCTTTGCCATGGAAAGGCTAAAGATTTCATGGATACTATACTTCAATGGCTTGTAAAAATATGACTAAAATTTCCACTTAACTGAGACAGTCAGTATTGGCTGTGCATATTGGAAGCATGTGCCTGCTACTACACTTCCAAGATTTTGGGGCTGACTAGAAATCTGGAGAGAGGCTTTTGACAAGGGCCTGTAGTGACAGGACAAGTGGGAATGGCTTTAACCTCACAGAGAGGAGATGGAAATTAGACATTAGGAAGAAATTCTTCACTGTGAGAGTGGTGAGACACTAGCACAGGTTACCCAGAGAAGCCCAGATTTATTTCCCTGAGTCCTTTATAAGTAGGTTTTACACTCTTCTAGCTGCTGTAACTTTGGAAACTAACATTACAACTACAGGTACCACCTGCGTAACTACTCTCTGTTATAAAAGTAGAGTAAATCTTGCTTAGGTGCAGACTGTACAATAAACTCCTTATCTGTACAACCATCAGATAAACAGCATTCACTTTATCTGTCGTCAGATGGTCTCTTGCTGCTAACCCATCTGTCCCTACACCTGACGTTGAATGCCTAAACATGTTTAAAAGCCTTAAAATGCTCTGACTGCAGCAATCCTTTAATGCTGTAGCTCACCTGTATTTCACTCAGAAAGTTTCTAATTGCCAGTGACCACTGGAGCTGTGACTCAGTCCTTTTTGCCTCCAAACTGGTTCATGGTCCATGTGAGAAAATAGCTGTAGGTCAGGTTGTGTGTGTGTGACAGACTGAGGAGACAGGTAGCATATTATCCAAATAACAAGGGATTTGTACTCGTTATTGAAAACAGCTGCAAACTATCCGGTCATGAGATTATGATTAGAACCATTCTCCTCTTGTGGGGAAAAATTCCTTAGGAGCTTAGGGTAAAAAGGAGTAACGTTGCTAAAAATAAAGAGGTCAAGTCTGACTTCTGTGTAAAGGATCAAAGAAGGTGAAGGCAGGAGAGCATTTTATTTCTAGGTAATGATTTGAATAATGTATTGGATTTCTTGTAGTTTAGCACCAGAATATGCAGTGACACTTCTTACTTAGTTACAAGGCACACAGGAAAATGTTAATTATTTCAGAATTTTACCAAAAGTTGGGTGATTGTTTTCTGGGGCTTTGGGTTTTGGGTGGGTTTTTTCTTTTTTCCCCCCTTTCCCCTCTTGACTGTTTTTAAGTGGTAATAGTGTCATGAGAACTTTTAAGACAATGTTAATTTATTATTACACCATACACAGATAGAAAGTAGTAAAAGTACCTTAGGGGAAAGGAAGGAAACAAAAAAACCCAAGCCAGTAAAAACCCAATAAATGTCAGGCAAACTGGCTAGGTATGGAATATCTGACTCAGTGGGAATATCGTATTATACATATATTACAACAGTGAAATCCCCATTGTAGAGGCAAATAGTAAGATGTTGAGCTGTTATAAGGGATTTTACTATTTTGCCAGAATTAAGCCCACTTATTAAATAGAGTCACCACTGGACACCACATTCCAAATGCCTTCTGTAAGGAAAAGGAACGTAAAAAAAATAGACCTATTACTGCAGCTGCTATTTTGTTATTATTCCCATGGCTATCAGAATTTGTTCTGACAGAAATGTTAGATTAGGTATATCCAATGAAACATCCAGTGTCACCATCCTGGTCACCTTTAGTTTCCCTTAAATTACATTCCCATTTTTCCTGGGAAAGGCTCCCTTTTCTCCTTTTTCCTAAGATGTTTGCTGGAGTTAACACATGCGAAATGGAAGCCTCCTTGCTTCCACTGAGCTCCTATGGCATGGTGCTGGTGTGCATCTTAGGAATCCCTGCAGTGTCAGTGGTGCCATGCTCACATGGGTTCAGAGTTCTGCCATCTGTTCTGAGGATAATGCTGGGAGCTTTCTTGCACTTGCATTTCTTTCTGTACAAGAAAAGAAACTATCTGGATTAATTATTCAACAGTGATATCCAGCAACTGACCAGCTTTACCTGGAGTGTAACCACTGGACACCTATGACTTCTTCATAATTCCTTGGTTAATTCAGACACTAGCTTAACTCATTAGCAGCAGCACTGAACTACCTCCTTGATATTTATCTTTCTCTGTGTGTGTGCATTTTTCTTTGATAAATATACAAGAAGAGAACAAATAGAACGATGTCTTGTTCTTGTAGAGATTCTCTGTTGATTTTGACAGTCTTTCTGGATTGATTTTAATGAGTCTGAACTGGCTTATACTGATTTGCCAATGTACGCCTACAGTCTGTTATTTCTGGGAATGAACATAAACCAATTCCAAATGCCACCTATTTATTTGTCACCTGATTCTGATAGATATTCCTGCACTGGATAATTTATGCATGTGTGCATGCACTGGGAGGTTTTCTTTGCAGACCAGAGACTTTTAAAACGTGCACTGAAGCTCTGCAGAACTGATGGAAAATATGTGCTTCCCCTGCCCATTTTTTTCTTCCTTACAGCAATAAAAAAATAGGAACAATATTTTCACTGTAATTACTGTACACAGTATTAAATCAGATACCACCCACCAGCTGTCCAAAAAATGAAAGAGGAGGAAAATAGAATTATTTCTCTAGTTCTATTTGATTTTGGGATGGTTCGGAAACTAGGTTGTCCTCCCGTGACCCTGTGTAATAGGACTGGCACTTTTTGTGACTGGACCTTTTTTTGCTGTTTCTACTGTAATTTTTTTTCTCCTTCATGGTTCATCCACTGTGCTGGTTTTACAGAAAGTCATCTGAATCTGTCCTACCCTATGCATGAGGGTCACCACAGCTAAAGTGGATACTAAGGACATTCCAAATTGGCAAATGGGATATAGTCAGGATTATTAACATGGAAACAGCAGAACAGGAGTCATTTGCTTAAGCAATAGATTTTTAATGCCCCCATAGGTTGTATGCCTCCCGTAGAAGTCTATTTCATAATGTTCAAAGGCGTCAGGTCCAAATAATGTTTCTAGGATCCAACTTGTGGTAATAATATTCTCTTAGTAGAGATAGGAGAATGGGAAGATAAGTTTCTGTCCCTTATTTTTTCTGTTGGTTCTGAGTCATACTGCAAACAGCACATTGTGTGGATGCAGCCTGAGGGTGGAGAGATTTTCTTTGTAGTCATGGGACAAGTACTGGTCCGATCCTCAGTTAGGTCTTAGCTTAGTGTGAGGCATTTGGGGAAATGAAAGCTTCACAACTGCCTTTATTAAAGATGCAGAAACATGGTGTGAAATTGTATTCACTGATTAGAGTAATCATTATCTACAATATGGTTTAAGGGTGTGTAATTTCAGTCTGACGTGCAGCCCGAGATACATAGCCTCTCTGGCTCCATGGAATAATTATAAGACCAGCATTTGCCACACTGGATGAGAACAGTGGCTGTCATGCAGAAGGCAGTGCCCTGCCCTCGGCAGTGTCACGTATTGCAGCTATAGAGGAAATTAAAATATCTAGAGATGCACAGAATTAACAGGGTAATCTTGTAGATGGTGGCCCCTTTTCTTAATATTTTCTGAACTAATGGGTGAGATTAATCCACTGTAATTGGCATTGAGTTCTACAATACACTTACATCTATGATAGAGGTTATGATCAGCAAACTGCACTGAACTGGCAGTAGAATATAGCAAGGCATTGCTGTTGTAGCCAGTAATGTCATTTTGTGTTGGTTTGGGGTTTTTTTTGGGGGGGGGGTAGTGGTTTTATTTTTTATTTCTTAATTTTCAATAATTATGTTAAAATTCTTTTCATAATCATATCCTTTGCTTTTTAGTTTCTGTAGGAAATCAGCAGCTCTCTACATACATGATTGCTGACAAAATTCATCACAGTCAGACAATCCTGTTACTTTACATAACTGTCATCTGAAGGAGCTCAGCTGTCATACAGCAGCAATTTGCAGTCAGTGGTCAGATACGTATTTGGGGAATTTGTGCAAAATAATTTATGTATGAATTACATAGATTGAAAGTCTTAGGCAATATTGCAGAGCAAGCATCTAGGGCCAGGTCTTTGAGCTGTTTTAATTTGGGAGATAACCTTCACGTTTCCTGGAGGTTTACTTAGGATCACTGCCTAATATTCAGATGCTTATTTAAGTCATGCTCATCTTTGGGGAATCTTTTTCTTCTCGAGTGTCCCGTGTCTACTTCACATGTAACAACGAGTGCAATCTAGAATTGCTTTACATCTGTTCCTTGCTATCTTCTGTAGTAAGGAAGTTCAGTTCTGGGAAGGGTTTTGGTCTTCATGAGGAGTCCTGGGATGCCCTTAGTCTCGTCTGGGTACAAATGAAATCTAGAGAAGTGGTGGTATGCTGAAAGTATCTGTCTAGGCTGTTCTTGAGGCGTACAGCGTGCTGTACCTGATGCTCAAGGTCGGAAAAGCTACAGAGCTCTCCTTTTTATTAAAGTCAGGAGAAGCTTTAGGCAGCTCGTCTTAAAAAGGGTTTGCGTGCTCCTCAGTACAAGATTTGTCTTGCCTGTGGCATAACCTCAATTCTGTAATAGTCAGGTAGCTATAATATGCCATAAACTGTATGATTTCACTTTTTCCTTCATGAGTTTCCTAGCCTTAAAATATTCTGATTTAGAAACAGAATGACTTAAAATTTATCTCTTATCTAGGAATTTGCTTTCTTGTTATATTGCTTTTGTAGGTCCCAGAAGCCATAAGAAAGTGCCAGCGAGCTGGAATTACAGTCCGCATGGTCACTGGAGACAACATCAACACAGCACGTGCCATTGCCATAAAATGTGGAATCATTCATCCAGAAAGAGTTCAACAGAAGGATCCGAAATGAGAAGGGAGAGGTAATTCGTATACTAAATCCAGGTAGATGGTGAATATGTTATTAAAAAATAGCAAGAACACTGAAATATTTTTCCTGCACTCTTGTGTACCTCGTATCAGTAAAGACTACTTGGAGAGATTGCTACTTCTTTCTACTGCTAGCCTTTTGCAGTTAAGAATACCAGTGAAAATGTGGCCACCTTCTCCTGATGCAGACACTCTCAGCACGTAGCACTAGCCTAATTCAGCACTGCTTAGAACCATAGCTCTAGACTACAAGAAGTCAAACTAAGCACATTAAAGCAGGTTTGTTAGCAAAAAGAAGAAACTCAGCAGCAGTTTGCAGATCTCTCTCATGGAATTGCAAGCTGTCCTCAGAACCAGCTCCTCCCATTTCTGTATTTTATAGCAGTTTATCTAATGTACTGCTATATCCACTCACTCTAACCATTTGCATAGCTTCATCTATTCTTTGGAAGATTTTTAACTCCTCATAAAAGATGGAGCTAGCACATGGTTTATTGAAGTCAGCTTTAAAAAAGCAAACTCTGTGCTGTCCCTTTGAGTCTATCATTAATGAATGAACATAGTCATTTATTCCTTGCATTGGTTGATGGAATCCTAGAAATGTTAGTATATGCAGCGGGATTGTTCTTATATTGGTATACGGAGAAAATTCTGCCATTATTGGTGTCAAAATGGAGTGAAGGATTTGGATTCAAAGTTAGAATAGAATAACACTCTTGTCAACATCCTCTATCTAGAGTCATGATACAGGGTGGAACTATCCATAAAGATCATAAGAAAAGCTGATGAGATACTGTTGAAAATATACCTACATAAGCCAAGAGCTGAGCTTTGGCAGTAGAAACTGCCTGTTTTGACCTTGTCTTCATCTGTAGTTTTGATGGCTTTTGTAATTTTTCTCTGCTTTTGGAGTAAAGTTGCAGACCAGGACAGTGAAGCAAATCAGCTGCCACACAGACACAAATATAGTTTGCATTTTACTAATCACAGACTAACAGTTCTACTGTATTGGGGTCTTTCTTGTGTCCCCCCCCTCCAGATTGAGCAAGAACGGATCGACAAAATCTGGCCAAAGCTTCGGGTGCTTGCTCGCTCATCTCCCACTGACAAACACACTTTGGTCAAAGGTGCGTGCAGGCTGCTTTATGTGTGTGTGGAAACTAATGCCAAAGTTACTGAAGTATGCTCAGCACATCATCTGTGTTGTGAAAATTCTGCTGTTACAAATATAGCTGAGTTCTTAGCTTTAATTGCACATTTATACACAATGCAAGGAAGTGTTCTTGGTAACCAAGTCTCTTGTGTTTCTGTTCTACCCGAGTCTTCAAATGGAAGAGGAAACTGGTTGGCATGAATAACAGAAATACTAATCTCAGATTTGCCTTGTGACTTTAACTGGACTAGAATGAGGCTGTTGCTGGGAAGGGAAAATGTGTTTGCTGGTCAGAAAGAAAATACTGAGCTCTTCATATAAAACAAGAGGGGTATAGATACTTGTAGTCTTCGCCTATACCTCTTTATGAAGAAAACAGGAACAATCTCATTTAGAGTAAATCAAGTCACTCAAGTGCATCTGTTCTCTGGCAATTATTTTTAATGAGTATTCCAAGATAAAACACTTTTCATGTTACAATAGCAGTTATTGGTGAAACTGGGAGCTGCCTTTTATAGCATTACATGAATGGAGATGGGCTTTTTAAGCCAATTCCATTTTCCTATAGGCTCACTCATGATTTGAGGTGCATTGGCTTCCTTTAGATTTCTGGCTGTATTTTTAGTCTGGTTTTGCTCAGACTGCACCACACAAATGATGTTCTCTTACAACACTGCAGATGGAATGCTCCTATAAAAGAGGTTTTGTTCACAGTTTTCTTTATAAAGCTTTTTTCCTATCTGTAACTCACTTCTTGATGACTTGAAATCTTCCTCTGTTGACTTTGAAGTTCACACTTAAAAGACAGCTGATGAAATCAGCTAATTTTTGATTAGGAATAACGTCATTTCTGGCCATGCTAAGCTGGGGGCTGGTGCAGGCAGAAGCCCTGTCAGCAGATGGCTGTGTTTGCTGGCTTCCTCATGAAGAAAGAGCTGGATTATTTTGCTAGGGCCTTAGAAAGTCTGGGGACACCTATCCTAGCAATTTTTGCAGGAGATGACAGTCAGGACAAGATCCAGCTGATCAGTTAGATGTTATCAGCTGGTTGGCTCCTTAAATAATTCACATTTAGGTAGGAAAGCCTTTTGGTACGGCAAGGTTTTATTGATGTGAACCCATACACGATCGATAAAAACTTTCGAGCAGTATGTAAATTTTTTTAATGTTTACATGATTTTGGGGCAAAAATTCCATTGTGAATTTGAAGATTGGCTCACTAGGGTCCTTTGGGTTTGGGACCAGTGTATGTGAGGAACTCTGGAAGCACGGCTCATTCCAGAGAAATCTGGTAAGCACAAGATTGGGCAGCT